TGGAAGCAGAAAGGAGGTGATAATCAGAAATGCAAGAAGACAGAAGCTGGGCAGCAGGGATGTCATATGCAGTTAATCTTCAGTCCTGGGCTCACTGCACTGCTGGATGAAGTACGTTTTCCAGTAGAAGATCAGTAAACTGATAATCATCCAGCCAGACTTTCCAGGAAAATTCAGACAGGTCACCAACTACCAATATCAGGAAAAGAGAGAAGTAAAAGCACTACAACTTCTGCTGATAGTAAAGAATATTTAAGAGAATATTATGGGGGCCAGTGCTGTGGTGTAGTGTGTAAAGCCACTGCCTGCAGTGCCAGCATCCCATATGGGCACTGGTTCAAGTCCCAGCTGCTCTACCTCTGACCCAGCCCTCTGCTATGGCCTGGGAAAGCAGTAGAAGCTGGCTCAAGTCCTTGGGCCCCTGCACCCACGTGGGAGACCCGGAAGAGTCTCCTGGCTTCTGGCTTCAGTCTGGCTTGGTTCTGGTTGTTGTGTCCATTTGAGGAGTGAATCAGCGGATGGAAGACACCTCTCTCTCTCTCTCTCTCTCTCTCTCTCACTCACTTTCTCTGTCTCTGTGACTATGTCTTTCAAATCAGTAAATCTCTAAAAAAAAGAATATTATGAATAACTTTATACTAACAGTTCAACAATTTGGATGAAACGGGCAAGTTCTTTGAAAATCACAAACTAGCAAAACTTACTCCAAAACCAAACATTTCATGAAAATGTAAGTTCTCACAGAAAACTGAAGAGGAAAAAATACCTCCCAACTTTTTTTAAATCATATTTGCTTTTTTAATTTATTTATTTGAAAGGCAGAGTTACAGAGAGGTAGAGGCAGAGAGAGAGAGGCCTTCACTCCCCAGATGGCCGCAATGGCCAGAGCTGTGCTGATCTGAAGCCAGGAGCCAGGAGCTTCTTCTGGGTCTCCCATGCAGGTGCAGGGGCCCAAGGACTTGGGCCATCCTCCACTGCTGCTTACCCAGCCCATAGCAGAGGGCTGGGTCAGAGGTGGAGCAGCTGGGACTCGAACTGGCGTTCATACAGGATGCCAGCACTGCAGGCGGTGGCTTTACCCACTATGCCACAGCGCCGGCCCCACCTCCCACCTCTTTCTATGAGGCCAATATTACTGATACAAATAGTAGACAAGGAACCTAATGAAAAGTGCATATCAATATCTTTAATGAACATAGCTGAAAAACTTTTTTATACTTTTTTCATTTTATTTTAAAATCAGAGAAAATGTAAATCTTTAGGATCTTGAGGAAAGCAAAGATTCATAGATATAATACTGAAGGCATGACTTGGGAAAAATTGATAAATTATACTTCATCAAAATTGAGATCTGTATTTCAAAAATTAACTTTTAAGAAAATGAAAGGATAAGCAATAAACTCTGATAATATAATCCCAAATTAATCTGACAGCAAACATGTATCCGGATTACGTATAAGTATCCTTCAAAACTCAATAAAAATAAACCAAATAAAAAGTGAACAAAAGCCTTTTTTAAAGATGTATTTATTTATTTGAAAGGTAAAGTTACAGAGAGAGAGAGAGAGATCTTGCATCCTCTGGTTCACTCCCCAAATGGCTGCAACAGCCGGACCCAGGCAGATCTGAAGCTAGGAGCCAGGAGGTTTTTCAGGGTCTCCCACCTGGGTGCAGGGGTCCAAGTACTTAGGCCATCTTCTACTTCTTTCCCAGGCCATTAGCAGAGAGCAGGATCAGAAGTGGAGCAGCGGGGACTTGAACCAGTTCCCATATGGGATGCCAACACCAAAAGCAATGGCTTAACCCACTATGACACGGCACCAGCCCCGAACAAAAGTCTAAAATAAACACTAGACCAAAGAAGATGGCAAATAAGCATGTTGTCAGTCATCAGGACATTACAAATTAAAGCCAAAATGATGCAAACTCTATTACAGTGCCTAAAATTCAAAATGACTAAGTATATGAAGTCTTGGCAAAGTTGTGGGCAAGTGAAACTCCTATACACTGCTGGTGGTGTACAAATGTGTTTGGAAAATAAATGGGTGGTTTCTTAAAATTTTAAACAAACACTTACAATGTGATCAGCCATTCTACTTCCAGGAATTCACCCCAAGAGAACTGAGGGTACATGTTCATACAAAGCTTTGTACACAGATATTCATAGTACTTCTATTTACCTTAGCCAAACCTGGAAACCAATGTCCATTAAGAAGTCTATAAATAAATAGATTGGGGTATACCCATTTGTTGCAGTTCTACTCACTAATAAATAAGGGACCAAATATTAATACACAATGTGTATAAAAATCAAAATTCTGCCAAATGAAACAAGCTCAGCAACAGGAAAATAATTCAGATAGAAAGATTCCACTTACATAAAAATCTCCAAAGTGCAAATATGTAGTGATAGAAAGCGGATCAGTGTGTGAGGATAAAGAGGGAGACGGGGTGCATGGAAGGGACAGATTCAAACGCGAGGATGGATGTGTTCTGTACCTTGATGGTGGGGATGGTTTCCCGGGTATAAATATGTGAAAACAGCACCCTGTGCATTATAGGCATTATTTAGGCCACTTGTTCCTCCATATTTGAAAGCTGTTGCAGATATCATAACAAAAAATGAATATTGGTCATCAGTGGTCGTCGTCCCTCAGGAGTTCCCAGAGCTTGGGCTTGAGCCTCTGATTGCTGTACTGTGTGACCCTGGTCCCTCTCTTCTCTTTCAGCTATTCCCTTGCATTGTCTTCTGCACAGCATCTCTGCCCTCACTCCCTCTTTTAATGCTGTGCTTTACACATCCAAGGTCATCTTTAAAATTGTGCTTTTTGAATGTTTGTCAAGTTGTGTTCTTATAAAAAGGCATTCACATCTTCAGAAAGTGTAGGGGAACCTGGCTTATCTGTCTGTCATGGTCTTTTGTTTTTAGTCTTTTTTGCGGGGCCAGGTGGGGGTGATTTGTCTTGTAATTATCCTGATGATTCAGGATCATCATGATCGACATTAGTTGTTTAATTATTGTGTTAGTATCTAGTGAGACCTATTTTACCCATATAACATTTTACTACTCTTCAAATTGAGTTGGGCTCCTGAGCTGTAGAAATTCTTTTCTCTACTTTTTAGATTTATCTTTTCTCTTTCCTCATTGTCAGACAGATTGCCAGCTGTCACTTCAGCTGTTTTCATACGTCTATTTAGAGAATTTTCACACCTTCATTCTTTGTAATTTCCTCTCTCTAATCCACTTTGAGTCAGAAAGCCTTTAACCAAGGGAGTTAGAACAGTGTGTGCATTTGGATCAAATATAGAAACTAAGTGGATAACCAGAAGTATAATTTTTTTTAGTAAACTGCATTTGAATTGTGCCATTAATTTTGACACTCTACTTTTTTCCCCCAAGATACATAACACTTAGGTGATGTTACTGTCCCTTATTTCCAAGACAACCCGTAGCACAAGAATTCCTGTGTTCCTGGTGGAAGGCACCATCAGTTTTCCCCAGTGTAACATGCTAAGGTTGTCTGTTGCAGTAACGATGCACAATGCCATATTGTCAGTGTCTCATGTTATTTATCTCTGCTTCTGATATGTCCTATTGTAGATATCATGGTATTGTATGATCAGTCTGTTCTGTGAGCAATAGATTATTTAAATGAATGATGTTGGAAGAATATATTAAAATAAATTTGACCACAGTAGTAGTCAAGTTCTGTAATCTCCCATAGTTTAATGCTCATATGAATGATAAAAATAGTGCTACTTCAGCACTGCAGATGTCTTTGAAAAATATTTTGTCTGAGATAAAATGAGTTCATATTTATAACGTCAAGTATTTGGTATTCTTCAGCCCTACTTATTCCTTGAAATGATTTTCCAATTTAACATTTACACATAAGATCTTATTTGATTTATCTCTTGGTATACGTGTATTATGTAATGATTGCTGAGGAGCATACACTATTAAAATGGATAACTAGACAGTCAAGTTAAATGATCCTTTTCCATTCCATTATCTTTGTGTCACTTTTTAAAATCTAAGCCTCAACAAATACATCTTTGCTAGGAGGTGATTATAGCTCAGAGATTGTCATTTAGAAAATTGTAGTCTGCCATGGTACTTTGAGATGGATTTTTCAAAGGAACATTTCGACACGTGAAGGATACAAGAAATGCTCCCAACTCGTTACACAATTAGAGTTAAATGTGCTTAGGGATGAAGTCAGTGGATGCTTTTTACTTTTTAATATTCCTGAATTCAGCAACACTTGATAATACTGACCAGTTATGACATTGCAGCACTGCCAGAATTGAGTCATTTCTGTTTCTCTCCGTATCATAAAATTGGGGCCAGCATTGTGGTGCAGCTGGTTAAGCCAATGCTGCCCACAAGGCCAGTATCCCATGTCAGAGCAACAGTTTTAGTCCTGGGCTGCCCTGCTTCTTTTCCAGCTCTCTGATAATACACCTGGAAAAGCAGAAGAAAATTGGCCAAGTGCTTGGGTCCTTGCCATCCATGTGGGAGAACCAGATGGAGTTCTAGGCTCCTAGCTTTGGCCTGCACCAGCCCCAGCTGTTGCAGCCATTTGGGGAGTCAACCAATGGATGGAAGATCTGTCAATCTCTCTCTTTCCCTCTCTCCCCACCTCCTTCCTTCCCTCTCTTTCCTTATCTGTCATGCTGCCTCTCTGATAAATGAATCAAATCTTAAAAAAAAAAAATCCTAAAATCATATTCTCCTTGTTTCTCCTCTCTCTGCAGTCTCAGCCAGTCTCAGTTGCTCCACTTGCCTCTTAAAGATCTTAAGGATTCTGTTCTGAATCCTCTTATCTCCCAACAAGCAGTCTCCTAAGTTTACCGAACATGTGCTAATGAGTGACAGTTCTAAATTTGCAGCCCAGAACTCTGCTGAAAGTAAACTGTGGACACCAACTGTCTTCTAGATAGTTCCACTACTTGATTCTATAGCTTTACATACTTGACACTCTTCTCCCTGTTCACAGGCAACAAGTCCTCCAGGTTCATTAAAGGAAGATGCCAAAAGCTCTCTTCAGAAAAGCTTCAGGATTCTTAACGAGGCCAAGAAGCTGGCACAGGATGTCACAGGTGAGTCTGGCCACTCTTTCTTATGTGCAGGTGAACTATATGGTAGCTGGTAGAATATTCTATCACACTGTTGGAGAATATAATTGTTTCAACATAATATGTATGATTATTCTGTGTGATTGAATGCAAGTAAACTTTCTTACCTGTTTTACAATATTGTCTTCATATCTCATTTTTCATTGGCTCATAATTTATAATTTTAAAGTCTAATATCCATAGCTTTATTTTCCTATATCTAGACTGTTACAACTTTTAGCATAATAAATTTTTGAGTACCAGACTTCATGTTGTGTTGGCTTCAGAAATGACAATCACAAAGGAATGAGTAAGCAGATGTGGAATTGTCTATGAAAATTTCAATTTTGTTAGTGGATTCTGAAAATTTTTCAGATCTTTTAAATATATTTTTCAAGGTGCTTTATTCCTGAATCAAGAATCAAAGTGTATTCAATATTCCCAGATGTATTATAAGTTTTATGTTAACATATTAAACATGGTAACTCTCTACATAAGCTATTATATTTATTATTCCATTCCTGTATCACATTTGCCATTTGAATTGCCTGTTCTTCCTCCCTGCAGTCTCATCCCTGACAGTTCTCTGGCTTGCATCCATCTTGCCAACCTACCTGCATGTTCAGGGTCCCTCCAAAGCATACTACCAGTCCAAACGCCCATGTTTTCCCAATGTCATTCGTTCTCCTTGGAATGCCTCATCCTGCATCCTTTTCATCTCACGACCTTTTACGAGGCCTCCAAGATCCATATGTTCCACCTCTGGGGGGTTTTCACACAGACTCATCATGACTATGTTCTGTCTTCCTGAGGAAAAACATTAGGTCTTGTAAATTTAGATCTTCTAGTGTATATCATAGTCACTAGTCCAAATAAAATCAATGTTTTCTGAAATTAATGACGTTGCTCTTTATCTTTAAAAATGGAATTAAAATAATTATATTTGGCATGCTTTAAACTAATAAGACAGTTTCCAATAGAGGCTTATGCAGAATCACAAGATCTGTCTCCCTTATCTATGGTGTTTTGATAGTAAAATGAGTTGGACTGTGTATCACAGGTGAAATAAAACTCCCAGCCTGCACCACTGTGTGTTGGAGGTAACTCTTATTGCGAACTGAAGAGGGACTGTAAGGAACCAAAATGTGTTTTCCTGTTGAACAAATGGAGTTGAGCCCCATAGCTTGTGTTCCCCGCTCCTCCTTCATGTTCAACACCCTTGCCCATGGGAGGGTTGCAGGGAGATGAGTGCAGTGAGTTGTTCAAGTTCAGGGGCAGCGGCATATCCTCCCACTGTTCAAGACCTTAATATTTTAGTCACCATGGGATTTTTGCCATTAAGTTCAACTTTTTAAAAATATTACATTGGAATAGGCATCTGGCATAACAGTAAAGAGACCACTTGGGTTACCTGCATTCCCTATTGGAGTGCCTGGATTTGAGTCTTGGCTTCAAGCCTGACTTAGCTTCTTGCTCAAGTGCACTCTGAGAGGCAGCAGCAGTTGCTCAAGTGCATGGATCTCTGGTGCCCGCACGAGAGACCCAGACTGAATCCCTAACTCTTGGCTTCATTCAAGCCTCGCCCAGGCCTCTGTGGACATTGGGGTGTAAACCTGTAGATAGAAGTTTCTCTCCCCATCCCCTCTCCCTCTCTCTGCCTTTCAAATAAACAAAATAAATGAATAAATTTTTTAAAAACCTTCAAAAAACTTATTTGTACAACTAAAATATCAAAAGAAAATATATATAAGCCTAGCATTTAAAATAAAACATCAGATCAAGTTCTAAATGAGGCACATAACTAATCCAACCCAGGGGTCTGAGCAGTAGTCTGGCTATAAAAAAAATTAACAAAAATTAAAAAATGAAATATTACATTAAAATATATTTTTCCTTACTATTGGGTTTCTTGGTGCCACTTTAAATTCACATTTGACCTGAGTGTCTTTCTCCCCTTGCCCTACTCCCAGCCCTGCTCCTGCCTCTATTTCCCTCTAAGACACTAGAAATGCACAAATGAGAGAGATGCATTTGAGACACTTTTTTCCTAAGGAAAAAGGAACGCTAAGGACAGGAGTGGTTGAAAGGGTTAGGACACAGAAGAACTATTCATTAATTTAAATGTCTCTTTTTGTACTTCAGGTAGTACATTATTTAAAGTAATGAAAACCCACAAACTACTCAAGCAATAATTCCTCCAGAAAACCAAGCCAAGGCTATGACGGAGATGGGAATGTTTTCTTGCTACATTATGACATTCCCCTGATTTGTGGCCAATTACAGAGGTTATAAAATGGCTGTTAATCAGGGAAATGCCATATATTACCACCAGGAGCCGCTGAAATGGGCCCTACTGAGCAAAACTCTTGACAGCAGCTATTAAAATAGAGATTTAGTCATTTCTCTCTCTGTGGTGCCTGGAGTTAGAAGGAATAAAGATGGTTGGTCCAGGATACCCTTCATCTTTCTAATTTGTTGCTTAATTCAACTCGGTGCAACTCAGTGAGTCTGTGAGCTTTAGTCATGAGTGACGGAGTGCTGGTCCCTGCCATTTTTATGCTGTCCTTGCCTTGAGGGAGTCTGAACTTGCCGGCAGCAATTTGTTTTGCTTTTTAATTTTTGAATATACATCTGTTAAAAGCAAATTTGCCCTTGTGAGAATCTGAGATTTGAAGCTTGGCAGTGTCGCACTGATTGAATGTCTGTGGAAACACAAATCATTGTGTCGATGGAGGTGCTGCCTGGGACAAATTCATGACTGAACGGGTTAGAAGATGAATTAATAATACCTGGTGAATTAATATTGCTCTGTAGATGGACGAGGAGTCTGGTCAATAAAATGGCCAGTGAGGTTCTTGTGGAATGCGCACAGAGCAGGTAGGCAGCAGAGGATGCTACAAGATTATGCACCTAATGCAAAATTTTATTTATTTCTTAATATACTCATCAGTTTTGTCTTTTCTCCAGCCTAAGTGAAATTATCTAGTGACTTAGGAAAAAAAGATAATATTTATTTAAAATGGATCATAACACATGACATAATAGATCAATTCCCAGGCCCAAGAATCAGTGTATTTTTTGATATATGGTACTGCTTTCCTGCACATAGAATATTACCAAACATCATTGCAATCATTAAATGTTATCAAACCAATCAGCATTTTTCCTCTATACCATGGACCTCCAAATACTCAGCCATTCAGCCCAGACAGGTGTATCAGAAAGATTCTGAGATTATAGATATAATACAATCACGATTACTAACCTGTTGAGATCCTATGTCATTATTTTATAAAAAGAGAATAAACAGCAATACTGCAGGGCAGTTAAAGTATGATATGAGAGTTAAATTCTGATTAAAATATAGTTGATTGTAGAAGATATACTCTAGAATAAGGTATATGAAAAACAAACAAAATCTGCTTCATGAACAAATAACAACTTGAGATTAAATGGATGAAATGAAGCCTGAGTCCCCTGGCCCAACATAACCTGGAAGACAAAACAGTCTCATCTCATTGCAATTGCTTATCCCCTCATGCAAAATTTTGCTTCCTCTGGAGTGTGAGTTTTGAGAATAAAGACTATAGAACTGGGATGAACTCTGGTCAGGAGTCAAAACAAAAGTGGCCAGACAGGGGTAAATCTGAAGCAGCAGGAGCCATCGGAAAGAGGTTCCCTAAGATTAAGACTTAGCTTGTTATATATGAGGGTACTTCAGAAAGTTCAATGAAGCAGTGGTTCTTCTACTTACTACTGGTTGAATTCTTCATTTAGTGGAAGGGTGAGCTTGTGATTATAAAATAAACTGAAAGTATGTCATGTAAAAATTAAAAGGAAAAATAAGACAGGAAGGAAGAGGGAGGGGGAACATGGACAGGGAGGTAGGGTAGAGTGGGAAGTATCATTGTGCTCTCTAATCTGTATATATGAAATACGTGAAATATGTTCACCTAATAAAATTTTTAAAAATAAATCAACACTAAATATATTTTATATATTTTATACATGCAGAGATAAATATATTTTTTAAAGTTCACTGAAAAATAAATGATAAATTTACATGATGCATATTTTTTTAATCCAGACATAATTTTTTATAATATGCATTTCCATGAACATATGAAAGACCCCTCTGGGCAACCCCATCATGAGGACATAGGACAAAAAGAACTCCTTCAGAACATTCCCTCCAACAACCTAACGGAAACAAAGGCCTATACAGTAAAAATGAGGGCTACTGCTAAAACCTCACCCAGGCTCTATCATAGATTCAAAATAAGAATCTGGCATTCTATGGGTTTATGTGCAAGTGAGCACATCTAGTCTGGAGATAAACACAAATGCCATCAGAGATCTGCAAGATAACATAACGAATGGTGAGGCCTGTATTAAACTAGAGACTACCTGTCATATTTAAAAATATTTAGATTCAACTTCATTGCCCTATGCCCATCGTCGTGCTTTAGAGTGCATTCTAAGGAATCAGACATGGGCTTCAATGTCTGGGTGTTTCAGCTTCTCATTCTACTGGCCACACAAGGTGCTGCACACTATGCCCATAGCCTAACTCTAGAAAACCTACCCAGACCAGTACCTCTCTCCTCCTTTCCTTAGCTATCTCCTACAACCCTAGAAGAAGACAAAGCAGTACAACTGCACTTAGCAGTGATTGATGGCCAAACAAGCACCATGCCAATTGGGAACAAGATCCTATTTGTCATTTGGCACTTATAGATCAGAACCAGGTTTCTCATTAACTACCTCCTCCCTGCCCCATGCCTGTAAAATGCAGTAACCTCAGAGGTCATCATATATTGTCATTCTGGCAAATATGTCTGTGCAAAATAGGTGATCAGATACACAGCACAACTCAAACTTGTGCCAAGTACTGGGGAGATGGAAGCACAGGAGTAATAGTCCAGAAAGAAGGCTACGTAACAAGTTAGAGCCATCTTATTCTTTGTCACTACTCAATGATTGTT